TGCTAAGAAGCTATTTTTTGTACAAATATTTGTAAATAAAAGCACTTTTTCATTCATTCATTCATTCATTCATTCACTAGACTATGTAAATCAACACAGTTGACATGATAACCATGTGTCTATGGTTAATCCTTCAAAACTTTTACACATTACAAAATGATAGCCAATTTACATCTAAATAATTATTTACTTAGTATTTTTTATGGAGACAGATATATTAAAGGCAATAATTGTAGTTATATTCAAATAAATATGTTTATATTACAGTTTTATTAATGTGCCCCATTTTTGAGACTTTGTGGTAAATGAAATCTGAACATGTTCTCTGACAATTTACTTAAAATAATATTCAAATCATATCAAATCAAAATATTATTTAGTTAAAGTTACTAACTGGAAGCATTTGACTAACTAGGAAAACCTTGTGATTTCCGGATCTTAATGTCAAATTAAGATTAAAATGACTATATGCAGTGCTAGATTTGTGGGAGAGCGTGGCCCAGAGTTCCGATGCCTCTCTTTCAGAATGATAAAAATATTGCCATAAATAGATACTAATCATATTGACTGGGTTACAGTTCCAGCACCTTTTTTTACAAAATTAAGCACTGACTATACGAATATGATAATAATATTAATATATTAAATATGAAATTTTTATTTACTACAATTTTTAAACAGTCCATTGCTAGATTGGTTTTTTATCCTATTTGAATTGTGTCTGGCTTTTGTGCCTGTCCCAGGTTGTTAAGAGAATTGGTGAATTTGTATATTTGGTCAGACCCTTAAGCAATTGGTGATTCTGTATGTCGGCATCCACAAATATTCATGCTACCCACTAAAGCTTTTAACCAAGTTAAAACTGTATCAGAGGACCAAGACCATTTTTGGACAAAAATTAAAATATTTTTTTCATAGCACCAGACCACGAGAACAGTACAGTTTCGGAAAGCGGTAAGTCAGTTTGTGTTTTGCCACTAAACAGAAATCTTTGAGCATGCATGCTCTAGATGACAATATTTAAAATCGATCACATTTGCCTATTCACCGTATTAACCTAAATCTTTAATATCTTATGATTCTGCTTGTCTATGTTTTACTGACAATTACATGAAAGGATTAAAACAAAAATGGGAACAGTTATAATAGCGACATCTACTTTAAGTAATACATCAAATGAGTAAATAAATACTACACAATCACTCTACAAAATTTAAAATTTCCCTTTAATATAATGTTGAAACAGTAGAAAATGGATAAGGGAAAAAGATATTTAAAGTTGAACTCTTATACATCCCATTGTCATGGTTTTAACTATTCTCAATCTTATTTAGTATGTTTATTCACTAACCAGCAAGCTGTAATAGATGGCACATGTTAGCAAACAACTGCACTCGCTAAAATAGAAGTTTTCCTGTAGTTAAGCTCACCTTAGGTTGAAAAACAAAGACTAAAAAACTTGAGATTTAAGTAGTTTCACATCATTGCCTATACACACAGAACTGAACTTTACATTGTTTAGTTTTCACTTAGGTAACATAAATGAAGATTTAACTCCCCAATTTTCAACAGTTTATGGAAGATTTGTGATACAAGTTATATTTTACTTGATTTTATTTAAACTTGAAATTTTACAGGAAACGTCTGTTATTGCTAAGCACTAATTTCAATTATTTGAGTCTTTAGTGGAGCGTACACTTGTTAAAATATGACTGAGATTGAATCCTGTCAAAAATCAGTGTATAGATTCATATTGTGCTGACATTCTGACTTGGTAATTTGAAGCTGTGTACATCACTTATAAACATGATTGGGCTCTAAGGTGAGGAGAAGCCCCTTCACTAAAAGACATTTTGATAATTTTACACACAATCAAATTAATCTTCTACCAAAGTCTAAAAATTGTGTTAAAAATCCTAAACAATTTGGATATGTAGGCCTACCTGTTGCAAGGCCAATTTTTTTCTTAGAAATGAATGGATGGGCTTCAATTGTCCAAAATGCTAAGTAAGCTAATCCTCTTAAAACTCAGTTGCTTTATTTATTTACATTTTCTGCAATCAGTAACATAGAATACTAAAAGGTTAAGTACAACCAAATTACACATAAGATTATTTTTTCAAATTTTTTAAGAAAAATATTATTTCCAAGCAAGATATGAAAGTTACAATCATCACATGAATTGGGGATTGTATAAGCACTGAGAATGCATACATTTTAGTCAAGTCTTGGCTGACACGCTGGAAGAGGATCCATTGTTAGTCCAGTATCCTCAAGGCAGGACGGTAGCTGAACATGACTGGAAATTCATCTTGGTCGCCAACAGTAAAATGTTAACAGTGTGAATGTGTTGCCAGAATGGCATTAGCTGTCTTATTGACGGTAGCTGTCTTATTCAATCACAATCAAACGATGATGACTTTTGAAAACTGCCAAAAGGTGCCATCCTACATGTGGCTCTATACTTTGTTGTTGGTGTGTCATGAAAGTAACACTCACGTGCCACAGTGCTGCTGAAGAGATCTCAGAGAGTATATAAATATACAAGTTACTTACTTTCTTCGGAATACACCGTTTTGGAGATTACTCCATTTTCACATAGTCAATGCACCCGACAATGGAAAAAATAGATTTTCAAAAATCTTATGAACAATTGAAATACAATCATATTTTATTGTATTTACATTTTTCATACGATTCCTCCATTTTCGTCGTGTCTGGGGTTGGTAAATGATATGACAAACAAACATTAAAGCACGTGCACAACTGAAAAACTGGCGACCGACTAATCGAGTCTTATCACTGCAAGAGTTAGGTGGACCATTGGAAGATTATAACTTGTGTACCAACTTAGCTGCTCAAATTATTCCTTATTTATTAACCGTTGTCACAATGAAAATGAATAAATCTCGTGAAAAATTTAAATAATACATTTTACAAACTCACCTGACGATTGAATAATCTCCAAAATGGCTGTAGAGCAATAAGACATCTGGATTTCGAAGACAGTAAATCCTACTAATTTTATAAATGAGAGAGTTTGGATGCATGTATGTACGGCTATGTATGTATGTATGTATAGGTCGGATTGGGCTGAAATTTGGTGTGATGATAGCTCACATTCCCGATTAACATATAGACACTTTCTTATCTCCATTAAAAGTCCTTTCAGGCTCTGCCCCAGTGGCTCTGGAGTTTCCCATGTTAACCTTAAGAGTAATCATATTTAAAAGGAATAAAAGAATTTCATCAGCTGTTTCAAATACACAAGTTGGTTCTATGATATTAAATTGCATTAACCAGTTATAAGGTTTACCAATAGGGTGCAGTACTATAAATTTTAATATAAAACTTCATTATGGAATTTTTTTTCTAATTTATGTCAATGGTTATAGAAATAAAAAAAAAGATTATAACTGTTGCTGTATCAACCCAGGCTCTGCTTTAGATTTTTTAAAGTGTTTAAGTTATGAAAATAATGTGATTGATATATTTTCATAGAAACAGTATGAAAATTACAATGCAGATGTTTTGTATGAATTTGGAGGATTTCTTTATAAATTCAACTGATTAACATGTGTTTAAGTAACATAACTTGCACCTCACATTGACTTTTTTTCATTTAGGTTGATTTAGTAATTGTGTTTTGTTACATCTATGCTTAAATTAAACTAAAGATTGTCATACCTAAATTGTATTCTGTTGATTTTTGTGTTTTAAAATCTATAGGTAGTAGATTTGTAGCTATTTTAATTATGAAATGGTAATACAATTAAAATACTCTTATTTATCTTAACATAGCTTGCAGTTCACAATTAATTTTTGGCATTTTGATAAATTCATTTTTTGTGTGTGTTTCTACACCACTGATATTAAAACACGGAAAATATGATAACATTAAGTTGTACACAGTGTCCTTCTGTTACTAAAATCAATTAAATATATGTTGATATGTTTACTTAATCAACGGTAAGTGTAATTAGTAAAGGCAATGGACTATGGAACTGAAAAAAAGAACTGGTTTAAATATTATGTTGTTCATTGATATTTTTGTACTGTAGAATCTGAGATGCAATGACTCATAATATGTGTTCTCTGATTCTATGTATATTATACTGTATTTACTATCAGATTGCTTAGTCCTTGATGTTATGATAATCATATTAGTTTTGTCTGCCATATTTAATGCTAAATTAATAATCTACAACTTTATATAGTGTAAATATAGTTTCTTTAATATTTCAAAAGACTATTGTGGACAACAATATTATTTCTAAAGTTTATAACAGCTGATGATAGTGTAGCTAATGATTTATTGTGAGTGAATATGGAAGAATTTGTGATTTTAAATTTAAACAATATTGACCTAACAAATTTGTCCATTTTAAATAAAAAAATAATCAGTAGTTTTGCAACTTCAAGATTGAAATTAAAAATGACAAAAATAACGAAAAAAAATGTAAATAAGGGGATGAAGGTAAAACATGTAAGTGAAAATGTTATTTGGAAATTTGGTAAGATTTTCACATATCAGTCTACACAAGATTTAAAATTAATCAAAACCGAAATTGTGGTTTCCACTACTTACCAGATTAAAAAGCCATAAATGCTATAAAGGCCATAAATGTTGAATTTTGGGGTGAACTTTAGTATCTGTTCTACACCCATTCGAATGGATATATCGAATACTCTATAGCCTATAACGATATTTTTCATTCGAATGAGTGGACGACAGATACTAAAGTGCAGCCGATTTTTGTTTCTAAAAGCGTTGGTGGATGTGTAACTATTTTATACAACAAATGTAAAGATCAAAAAATGTTTCTATTTTGTGTCCTCTTCCCGTTGCAAAGCACGAGTACAACAGCTAGTAGCTTATATATTTATATTTTATGTATCTACACACAATCAGCCAGACTGAACAATCATTAAAGTTCATCCCAGAGAATAGCACTAGTTCAAGTCTTTGCTTTACTAACATGTGACAATGGTTGTTGTAGGTTACTACATAGAATGGAACAACGAGTGGATTCATGTGTTCCGCCCTGATGTGGAATGCACTAACGGTGTGATCCACGTCATTGACTCCGTCTTGCTCCAAGAGAGTGATATTGTGGTATCGAGCGCACCCTCACTGCCTCTCAGTCTATGTACAGTGCTTGCACTCTTCCTCAGCATTGCAACTGCTCACTTCCTCTAAGTTCCCACAAAACATTTTGTGTCTTCATTGGGATTCAGGGGTGGGGTCCTAACAATGAAATTCCTAAAATTATTGTTTTGTACCCTCTGTCTCAACTACTACAACATTTATGTTCGATGGTAAATCATAATTGTGCTGTTCAATGTTAAAACCCATAAAAGTATCATTCACTTTTGTATCTGTGAGATAACTTTGTTGTCAACTGAAATTATATGTATATCACCTAATATTCTTCATAAATACCAATATTTCTGGTCCCCTTTGTCATATTTCATAACATTATACTAATTAATTTTATAGAATTGGTTCAAAGCAATTGAGTCACTGCCTGTCTATTATGCATCGTGATCATTGTTTTACAATATGCTTTGCAATTGGTAGCCTTGAAAACAAGTAAAATTGGTAAATAAAATATCCAGCTTAAAATATGTAAAATAATGCATGAATTACTAAATTAGTCTTAAAATTCGTTCATGTTTTAAGATATTATAAATTTGAAGTACAGTAGAACTAATAACCGGTATCTTAATGTTGTATTCAAAATATACAAACATTGTATTATGACCATTATGTTCCAAATTACTTTCAAACCTGTTCATATTTTAAGAGCTTATCTGATGAACCCTGATTCTGTGTCTGATGTAAATTATCTTGCTGTAATGGTTGTTTTTGAAAAAAAATTGTGTGAATAATAAAGAAGGAAGAAAGACTATGTGAATATTAAAGAATTATAAATATTTTTAAGAAATACTTATAATAGTGATTTCAACGACTATTAATGTATTGGAATTCCACGTGTACCGGAAATACACTGAAATATTATAGTTGTTGCCTACCATGATAAATATATTTTGAGACAAATAATATGTTGATAAATAAGACCTTTAACAAGGATTTTAAGTATTGTGTACGTATTTTTTTTATATTTCAGCTATTCATAATAGTGTGTAATTCTGCAAATTCAAAACTATCATATTGTTGAGGACAGACTTTTTAAAGCGATAAAGCACTAGAGGAATTTATGTTTTGTGAAACAGTTTTTTTACTAGTTTATCATGCTATGGGATAATATATCACAATTCATATTAGGCTAGACACCATGTCACTAGTAAAGTAGATATCCCAAATTAGTGATTGGGGCAAATGTTGAAAGTTTACATTCAACAAGAAAATTAAAAATAGTATGTGCATTTAATTGATCCAAGTCAAATCCATAGCTATAAGAAAGCTTTAAAATAGGAAAGCAGGAGCTTAGAAAACATGTAAATAGCCTTTGGCACTAGCTAAGATTGTTAAATCATACAATATTGTATATTTTCAATCATCTCATGAAACACTGTCAATAATTAGTGCAATAGTATATTTTGTGAGTTATTTCTATGTCAATTATTTTTTTAAATTATTTATAAGTGTGATGTTTTGTTTACATCACAGGTATATTAAAGAAAATATTACAGCCTAAAACCTTTGATTTGATGATTATAATTCATTACAAATATATTTGAATCTACAATAATAATTGGTCAAAACTTGGGTTTGGGTTGTCAAGAAAGTATTTATTATCTCCTTAAAATGAGTAAAAAAATCAATGAGTTAGTTTAGTTAGTACTTTGTTGACATTTAGGGACATTTTCAAAGCTTATAGTGATACCAAAGATTAATAAAATCCAAGACTTTGTGCTTAATTTTGGGGGTCACAATAACTAAGCAGATATAACATCAAAAGTAGTTAGTTTTGATTTCAAACTGTATTGTCACTGATATTCCACTACAAAGATCAATAACATCTTATTGTGCCACACACAGTTAGTGGACTTTGTTGAAGCTGAGTGATTGTGCTCTGAAGTCCCATCATTAGAGAAACTAAGTGGTATGGATCTCTTCTTATCCACATCTTTCTATGTTTTACTATTTAGGTCATTACTAATCTAAGAAAATCGTTATACATCTTTTATCTCACTTAATTTGTAGCTTTCACTTCCAAAAATGATTTATTGTTCTTGTTAGTGTATGAAAGATCTTTTCTCTCACAAAAATAAAAGACACTAAATGTATTACATAAAGACTGTAAATAAATTCTGGGATATTGATGTATGTGTATTATATGTACATTTATTTTATCCGATACATGTGCATTAAAATCGTTACTTTTAGTATTAATTTAAAGTCTTATAGTTTCGGAACCAAGCTCCGAAAATAGATACGGTTGTTTCGTTACTTCGGAGATTTATTCCGTGCATCACTGGAGCTGTAAAGATATAATTGTTACTTCTTAGCATAGCTATAGAAGTTCTAAAACTTAAAGAGAGTTCCGTTCTAATTAATTTCTATTGTGTAATATAAAAATATATACAAGCGTTGTAAATGCTCGGAAAGTATTTTGCTTAATAATGTTGCTATCGATAAGTCTAATGTATAAGTTATTGTCTGTGTGTTTGTGAACTCGGCCTGTTTGTTTGTTATTCCACCACTAGATGTTTCTAGTAGGCTTTGTGTTGCGTGCTACACCATCTAAAAGAGCAAACCTTGAAAATGATGGAAACAACTGCATTGTAATGATTAGATTTAGGCTTTGTAATAAAAATACATTGCATTTTGATTTTTATTGTCTATAAATGTGTGTTTTATTCATGCATCCTATCTAATTGTAACCGTATTATAAGGTCAGCCATTTTATATACCGGTACGCCACTTGTATTCTTAAAGATGACGATGGTGGTAATAATGGAAAATACAGGGTGGCGCAAAAAGTATGGTCGGATTTGATCTGCGTAGTACCAGTCATGGTGGAGGGGAGGAAGCCGCTACCAGCCGTCTGCAAGTCGGCCATTAAAGCCAGTTTGCCCAGAGATGGCGCAGTGGATGGTAGCACACCGCGTTTATGCCATGGAACAGTTTTTTAAAAACAATGAATCTTTCATTACAGTACAGTGGCTGTTTCGACAACATTTTGGTGTCGCACGTGATGGACTGATACCAGATCGCAGATCAATATCTCGCTGGGTGAAAGCATTTAGGACAACGGGTTCCGTTATGAGCGGTAAGTCTACTGGGCGTCCACGCACGGCAGTTACTCCTCAAAATATCGATACTGTGAGAGCTTAGTGTTTGAAAGTCCTCGTCGTTCCACCAGGCGTCGTGCTCAAACTTTGGGCCTCAGCCGTCGCTCGCTGCAACGTATTCTACACAGTGAGTTGAAGTTTCACCCTTACAAAATTATGATTACCCAAAAGCTCTACGAACAAGACTTTGTGAAACGCAAACGTTTTTGTGAAACAATGTTGGACATTTTGTATTCTAGTGATGATGTTGTGCTCATAATGTCAGATGAGGCCCATATCCACTTGGACGGATACGTCAATAAACAAAACTGTAGGTATTGTATTGGGCAGCTGAAAATCCCAGGGAACTTCACCAAAGGCCTCTCCACAGTGCTAAGGTGACTGTTTGGTGCGGGATTTCGAAATTGGGGATTATTGGACCATACTTTTTTGAGGAGAACGACGCTACAGTGACAGTGAACTCTGAACATTACGTGAACATGCTTCGTAACTTTTTGAAGCCAAGGCTGCGAGAATTACGTATAAACCGTCAACACATTTCGTTCCAACAGGATGGGGCAACAGCCCACACAGCCAATGACTCTATGAGTGTTTTGAAGCGGATGTTCCCTCACCAAGTGATCTCACGATTCGGAGACGTTCACTGGCCCGCTAGGTCTCCTGACCTCTCAGCATGTGACCTTTTTCTTTGGGGTTGCTTAAAGGCTAAAGTCTACGCACACAAGCCTCAAAACTTAGTTGATTTAAAAGAGGCAATCCGTTTAGAAATAATGGCAATCCAAGAAGAAACTGCTGTGGCGAAAGTGTTCGAGAATTTCGAAGAAAGACTTTTAGAGTGCATCCACGAGGAAGATCTGCCAGAAGTTATTTTTCGCACCTAATTTTTATCTTTTAACTGACCGATTTTTCTAACAGCTATGTAGCTTACAAGGTTCTTTTTTGTAATTGGGTGCTTTGGAGTATTCAGAAACATGATGTATTAAAAGTTCTGTACCATTTGTGTTATATTCATTTAAAATGTGACCATACTTTTTGTGCCACCCTGTATTAGATACAAAAGCCAAGTTTGGAATGGTGATGTTGAGAAAGTTTGTGATGGTGAAGTGAAGAATTGTAGGGTCAACGGACAGTTTGGCTCACCATGATAACAGGCTCAGTGTCCTTTAAATTCAAACCCTCACACCATTCCAACACTGGCGTATGCTTTTTCACAACCAAAAAAAAAGAACATTTCCAGCTTAATTTTCTGGGATGTTTTTCATTGGTAACTGATAATTAATTTGGAGATTATAGGAACAGTATTTTTGGGTATCTTGTACTTCAGGAAAGGTTATCACATAATTATGAAGAAATTAGTATAAGATAATAGTACAGTAAAAATATGTTTTGACCCCAAAAAAATTAGCACAACCGGGGAATTTGGTACAGATGTTGGGTGTACCTTCCTTTTGAACATACTAAAAGTCCCCTAAAATTGAAGCTGTGCTACGGCCGCCATATTGGAAAATGGCTGCGTATTTCTGTATTTTTCGCTATAGCGACTTTATTATTAGAGATACAGGAAAAAGCTAAATGTACAAAATGTAGGTCATCTAAAAATACACATTTTTTGTATTTATCATCTTTCTTTAAACCCAACGGTTTTTGAGTTATTTGTTATTAAGTATATTTAGTTTTTTTCTATTTATCAAAAATAGGTAAAACACATGGAAATTGGCCATTACTTTCAAGGATTAAGATAATTTAACCTATTTAGTTAAATAGTGTGATACTATAGAATCTAAAAATTTAAGCGGAGTAAAACAACTCCGCCACAGCAAACCTGTAGACTCAGCAAATTTCCATTTTATTGGATGTTTTAAAAAAATGGATATAAATAAAATTAGGTTCAAAAGGTACCTAGGTTTGCTGCTACAGGAAGGTTATTATAGTGTGTTTTTTTAGTAAAATATCAATACCTTACTATAAAATAACTAATTTTCCAAGTTTGATCAAAATATAAACAAGCAAACTGCAACAGTTAACTAATTCAAAAGAATGGCATGGGAGTTTTAAATTTACAATAAACAAATTTGAATATACAAATTTTGGTTGTGTTTACTAAAAAGATGGCAATTATTCGTCACAATTAGAATATCAACCAAAAGGGTTTTCAAAAGGAGATGTAGCCTGTTATTTAAGTAATATTAATTCGTACCAAGCACCGAAAATATTGTATGCAGTTAGGTAATCTACCATATTTTGTAAAGTACACAATAGTCATATTAATATTTTATCTTCATTTTTTATCCATTTAATAGTTAAGGGGATGTGCCTCCATCTATAGGCCATTTTATAAAATATTTTGACTTTTTTCAAAAAGTGACATATTTTTATTCCTTAATTATTACTGAACATGTATGCAAAGTTTTATTTGATTTGGAGAATTATTTCAGTGATTTTTATAATAAAATTGAAGACGTTGCGCCTAGCAACAATAAGTAAATTGAAAACTTTAAACAGCGTTTTCTCAAAACTACGTTTTTCATTTACTACATTTACGTAAGTTTGAATAACTTTAAAACTACTTATTGTTTTTCAATGAAATTTTAACCAGATGTTCTTAATAGTATTTAGAAGGTTTGTGTGTATAGAGAACATCCTGCAATTATTTATTCCTATAAAATATTATGTTTTACATTAAAAATCTGATCTTTTCGTGTAACATTTTTCATATTATTGTAAAAAGGTCTACTAAAGCTGTATTTGTTGAGTTACCATAGTTTCAATACACAGAAATGTTCATTGTTATGTGGGAAAGTAAAATATGTTTACTTTTTTACATTATGTTGATAAACAAAAAAGTTATTCAAAACTGAAATTTTTTAAAAAAATTCTAAAAATTTTGAAATTTACCCCAAAGTGACCAAAAAATTGATTTGGATAACATTTTTTCTATATATAAATCCTCTAATTTGGTGAAATAGAAACAGAATAAACCCACAAAAGCCATTTAAAATAAATAATTTTAACAAAAGTCTTAGAAGGAGGCATATCCCCTTAACATTTTAGTATTTTGATGGCACCACCACACTAACTAACTATACTTTACCTCCCATTGTTAATTTGGAAGGGTGTTTTTCGTGTCTAGTTCATGTTGGTGACTAATTAAGTATGGTATAGTATAGTTAGTTTTATTTATCAAAAATCGGCGAAACCCATCGCAATCGACGGTTACTTTCAAGGATTGAGTGATAGTGGTAGTGCCATCAAAATGTTAAAATGTTAATTTATTAAATGGGTAAAAATGAGTATAAAATATTAATATGACTATTGCGTAGTTTACAAAATATTGTTGATTTCCTTACTGCATACAATATTTTCGATACTTGGTACGAGTTAATATTACAGTACTTAAATTACTTGCTTCATCTCCTTTTAAAAACCCCTTCGGTTAGTATTCAAATCGTGACGAATAATCGCCATATTTTTAGTAAACACAACGAAAATTTGTATATTTAAATTTGTAAATTGTAAATCTTAAGCTACCATGCTATTATTATGAATTAGTTAACTGTTGCAGTTTGTTTGTTTATAGATTTATTATGATCAAACTTGGAAAATTAATTATTTTATACTAAGTTAGTGATATTTTACTAAAAAAAAAACACACTATAATAACCTACCTGTAGCAGCAAACCTAGGTACCTGTTGAATCTAATTTTATTTAAATACAATTAATAAAACATCCAATCAAATGGAAATTTGCTGAGTCTGCAGGTTTGCTGTGGCAGAGTTGTTTTACTCATAAAATAAGCTTAAATTTTAAGATTTTATAGTATCACACTATTTAACTAAATGGGATAAATTATCATAATCCTTGAAAGTAACGGTCAATTTCCATGTGTTTCACCTATTTTTGATAAATAAAAAAAAAAACTAAATATACTTAATAACAAATAACTCAAAACCCGTTGGGTTTAGAGAAAGATGGTAAATACAAAAAATGTGTATTTTTAGATGACCTACATTTTTTATATTTAGCTTTTTCCTGTATCTCTCATAATAAAGTCACTATAGCGAAAAATACAGAAATATGCCACCATTTTCCAATATGGCGGCCGTAGCACAGCTTCAATTTTAGGGGACTTTTAGTATGTTCAAAAGGAAGGTACACCCAACATCTGTACCAAATTCCCCGGTTGTGCTAATTTTTTTTAGGTTTATGGAATTTTTCTCTTATTTTTACTGCACTATAATGTTTAGGCCTAATTTGAACACAAATGGTTTCTAAGAATTTTTAGATATGTAAAATCATAAATTTGAAAAGTTTTAACAGTCAATCCCTCAAAACAACCACCTCTGCAAAGAGATCGTCCCTAGAATATCTCTTATGTTGAATAAAAGCAATTCTACAAATGTGTGTTTGTATTACAAAAGGTGGTAGCTAAATTTCACCTATAAGCACCTCCAAATTCAATGATTCTGAAAGATAACAAAGGACATATGCATATAGTGGTTTTTTAGCAAATTTCCCATATAGGGAATAAGCAATTATCGTAGGTCTCATGATAA